AACCCCCCCCCCCCCCCCCCAGTGTTATTAAATTGGCTTTAGGAGCCATCAGTTTTATTCCAGAAATGTTTAAAATTACATTTTTCATCACAGAATGTTTTTGAAATGACGTGTTCAGATGAATGTTCAAAATCAAAACAAAACAAAACAAAAACAAAAACAAAAACAAAAAACAAAACAAAACAAAACAAAACAAAACAAAACAAAACAAAACAAAACAAAACAAAACAAAACACAAATATCTCCTGTGTATGTCTACTGTTGGATACTACTAGTAGTCAAATTAAATCCGTGTATCATTCGATCATTTGTTTTTTGATTTAATATTGAAAGTGGAAAAATTAGAAAATGGCTCCTTTTTTGTTTTTTTTCCCCAAAAAACGAAAAACGAGAATCCAGCTAAAATTTTTGTGTTATTAAGTAATAAGCCTTTAGAACAACACTAAGGTGAGTAGTCACTATAGCTCACACAGTTCCAATAAATTGCGATGGGTTAAATAAACTCAATAAGCAGACAGACGTGACTACAGTCAAGCGCAGACCAGTATTGAAGTGCAAAGGAAATAAGCAGCAGTCATATTTAAAGCAGTTTAAATTAATATTGAGTACTGATTGATGTTCACTTGGATTTTTTTTCCCCATCGAGGGGAAATAACTTAATACCCTGTCATTTATAGTCGTATGGTAAAATTTATATTTTTATTTGTGTAACATTATGTTCAAAATAACTACAAAATGTCATGCCTTTGAAAAATAAAGAGAACAACAGAATGCACTGCTTTAGCACGTCTTGGTGTCCTTGAGCATCTTTCTGGCTCATGCCACAAGCACGAACCACAGGGAATACTTGTCTTTTAAAAGGCTTTATTTAGATTATTTGACGTTAAATGCATCATTTAAGTCACTTTGGAATAAATAAAAGTAGGCCTATGTATCATGATAAAAAAAGCGACTTTACAGTCTGGAAATACTTTAGGCTATAGCAAACTATTTTGCGGACCCCCTATCACTTTAAGAACCGCTGGTCTACACAGAAGAAAGACCTGTCTAGACTCTGCCCCTGTACGAGTTGTGTCGAGCTATTCATTAGTCTGTTTGATGAGAAAAATATGAAATGTAGTTGCAATAAAATGGGTTATTAATCCATACAACTGCGGCAGTGGAGGACTATTATTCTGCTGCGTGATACTGCAGAAGAACTGATGACAGCACGGTTTGATCTTCGGCTGACCAATCAGCAGAAAGGGGCATTTAATTCCCGCCTACATGTACAAATCGAGTATTCAAGCTGTTTATTCATTTTTCCACCCATGAACGAAAAACCATTTTTTCCATTTTTTGGAAAAAAATGAAAAAGGAGCCGTTTTCTAATTTTTCTACTTTCAATTTTAAATAAAAAAACGAATGATCAAATGATACACGGATTAAATTAAATACTAGCGAATAGTTTCAAAAATGTGTTTTAAGACAATTTATTTCTAATAATTCACAGGGCCAAAAGTATCTGGCAAGAACATTAAGAGTATTTTGTTGACAAAAACAACAACAACAACAACAACAGTATTATCATAACCAGCAGCATGCTTCAATATGAGCACTGAGGGAAAATCAGCCAGTATCATGGGGTGGCTGACCTTTCAACAGTATGCTTGCGAGACACCAGATGCTTGGGACATATGCACAGCCCCATGAAACCAAAACTAGCTTTCTCACATTTCACACGCATCCAGACTACTGAAGTCCCATCAATATATAAACAAGGTGTCTGTCCCTCCTAAAGCAGGTCAGAGGCTTTTATCGCATCTTCTTGATACGTCTTTATTTGTGCATGGAACGTTTCCCAATGTCACAGATCAAAATCTACAGGCTATTTTGGCCTAATATCTGAAGCCCGAGAGTAAACATGTTTTTACAGCTCTCTTAAATGCATATAATATCGCCTCTGTACAGTATTATATCCTCGACCCAGGTTTATAAATCATAAACGCAGCAGCCTTTGAAAATCCCTTTCGGCTGCTAGATGGCTTTCATTACCAGACAAGAGAGACTGGCAGCTGAATTCCAATCTGCGCTGATGACTGTCATCCCGCTATAAGCGCAAAACTAACCTTGACATTCAAAATAAACAAGCCGCCGTGGCGTGACAGGCAGGCAGAGCACGGGCAGCTTTTATCTGGGCGAGAATATGTTTCTGCCGTCAGCATGTGGAAATATTTCATTATCCTCTAATAGCTTAATGAAATACAGGAATAATGATCCACTCTAAGCTGATTAAGCGCTTTAGCAGTGTTTTAAAGCTTCCTTCCAGATACAGATGATTGTCGTTAAGCGATGGCTGAGAGGAGATTTAACTGGCTGCTAGTGCAAAGCGCTGGATTTAGCTTCTGATGGTACGCGGGGAACGGCGCTGGAGTATTGAAACCACCTCTGACGCCCTTAGAACGCCCTAAAGCGGATGCCACTTCTTCAAAACAACTACATCGGTTGGGTTATCAATGAAACTCACGTTTTGACCTCCATGTATGTTGGGTGTGACTCATGGATTTATATGTATAATGTATTATGTATGCACAACTTTTTATGCGTTTTGGCCATTATTTTACATGACAACAGCATTTTGGAGACCTGAAAACAAACTTTTGTAAACAAGTTTCAAAGTGCAAGTTTTTGAACTGTGATGTCATGCATATTATGTGTTCAGTTAATAGGCATGTGCACAGGTGCATAGTGTTTCTTTACAAAACGACATTGCCAACTACTGGCCTGGCATGAATAATACAGTGTGAAGTTCGGTTTTGACGACATTTGAAAAACTTTTCTGTTTTTAGTACATCATTGTCATGAAACGTACCCTTACTCAGGAAGGGTTCATCTAACCGACATTTAAAGTGACTTTTAAAGAAGCATGATTCATTTTTTTCTGTGACATTTAGGGGTGGGTAATCTGATATAACCTGCATAACTGCAAGAATGTAGAATTATTCTCAAGGACACAATGTTTATTTGCCAAAGCCTTGCAACTCTGTAAAACCAAGCAAGTAGCTCTTCCTCTATAGTGTTCATTGCCGAAGCTTTGTAAACACAACTTTATCTTCTGACAGGCTGGTAAAAATGCACACTCTGATTTCTAAAAAAAACTGTAAGCTAGCCAATCAGATTGCAGAGAAGCTTGCCGTTTTGAGAAAGATGCTTTTTGTGTGTTCTTTCTGAGTGCAATATTATTGTCACTCACTGCAAGATAGAGTACTTATAAAGTACACTACAGTTCAAAAGGTTGTTGTCAGTAAGTTTTTTGTTTGTTTGTTTTTGAAAGAAGTCTCTTATGCTCACCAAGTCTGCATTTATTTAATCAAATATACAGTAAATCAGTAATATTCTGAAATATTATTGCCATTTAAAATAGTGGTTTTCTTTTGTAATATATTTTAAAATGTAATTTATTCCTGTGATGCAATGCTGAATTGTCAGCATCATTACTCCTGTCTTCAGTGTCACATGATCCTTCAGAAATCATTCTAATATGATGGTTTGCTGCTCAAGAAACATTTCTGATTATTATCAATGTTGAACGCAGTTGTGCTGCCTAATATTTTTTGTGGAAACCCTGATTTTTGTTTCAGTAATTTTTCAAAAGAACAGAAGTTGTAAATGCTCCATTTAATGTGTCTTTGCATGTATAACAAAATTAATTGATTAAAACAACAACAACTACAACAAAACCTTCAAACTTTTTAACGGTTTATATGATTAAATATGGAGAACTGAGAGACATGACATTCGGATGTTTTGCTGGACATTGTTGTCGGGGGAGCTGTGGCGCTGATCAAGCGCTTCAGGACACGCAGACGGGGGAAGCGAGCCGGCACGCTCGTGAAGCTCAGACAGCGCGGATTCAGGACGCCGTTGCCTAGCATCCATCTGGCGAACCTCCGCTCTCTACCCAACAAAACGGACGAACTTCTTGCTAACTTACCACAGTACAGCGAGCTTCTTCTCAGCTATTGTGGCAGAGTGACTTGTGAAGTTCTTTAATCTCATTGCGTACCTTAAATAACAAAAGTACAAGAGTTACACAAATATGAAAAATCTATTGATGCTTTTGACAATTCTCTTCAACACCATATTTCAATTAGCAAAGGGTCTTATAATACACTGATGAACTTTGTGTACCATCTATTTTTATTGCCTCTGATGTCAATAAAACAAGGACTGTTACAACTGTAGGTAATGACTATCATCTAGTATTTTCGATGTATGAAGAGGGCACTGACCTGATGAGCTCTACGGTTTCTGAATACATTGTGTATGGTGACTTGGCCTCTAACGGGTCTCGTTCCATGGCGTTGCCGCATTCGATGAACGAGAGCGCTCCATCGGCGTAATTCACAGCTTTTCCAAACTTGTCCATCTGTGAAGCAAAATTGGCATTAAAGGTTGAGAGAATTCCGCAAATACAAGCTCCTACAAAATACAAAGCTTGTAAAGTCATACTGAAAAACAGATATCATAGGAGGAGGTAATAAAGCCATTAGGCTGAGGTAATTCTCTTATGAGGCAATGTGAGTCAGAAGATATAATGCAAGAGTGAGGCAACGTGCAGATTTACGGTCACCGGACTGGCGTATATTTCTAACTTCACGACAAGTTTATGAATCAGAACAGTTTATTTTGTGTGGTAAAGTCGTACGAAAGTGCTTTTCTCTACATTTAGGGATTATGTTGTTCATCCTGACTTATCGGTACAGGTTCGTAAAGGCTAACTTTAACTCTCATGTCTCATTTCTCGAACACAAACGAATCAATAGCACTAAACAACATTACGCCTGGCACAGACAAACACAAACAATAAGAGCATATCTCATCTCCATAGGAGCGTAAAATAGATTTACTGACCACTTGCCTCCACTGGCATCTTAGGAGCCGAGTCCATTCGTTTTCAAGTGAGCTCTTCAATACGAGGCACGCGGACGCCCGGGATTCATTACAGGCCTGCCACTACGCTCATGTAACGCTGGCAATCAATTCCCTTTACTTTGTATTCATGACTAGGCCTATACATCGTCATAGCGATTTATGACAGAGAGGATGTAACTTGCGATAATGGACAATGTCTCCAGAGATAATTGCCTGGATCCAATTATTGAGGGTCTGGGGGTCTGTTTTGTAAATCTCTAACAAAGCTCCTGCTTTATGGATGCTAAGGGCAGACACAAGGGCTTTCGCTCACCTAGATTGGAAAGTCTTCAATTATAAAAGGTCTGTCGAGAGAGCTTTTTCCTCAGCTTGCTAATGGCTCTCCGTAGCGGAGGGGTTGTGTGTCCGTGTAGTTAAGAGCAGTGTGACAGGAATTTTTCATCTGCTCTTGCTGAGTGCTAACTTCCCATTGGAAAGAAAAATTGCTAAAGATCGCGGTTTGTTTTTCACACACATCCCATTGTATGCATTAACATGAACCTGAAATATGTAGAGCTGCTATGCGACTGAAAGACAGTTCAAGACATGTAATACTACACGATCAGTCTTCTGTACACAAGCACACACATCAGTCATTACCCGCAGTAATCACATGGCTGTTACATACGTGCTATTAAATGTGAGTTTCGGTCTCCTGGGCTCCATGTGCTCCATGGACAGGGTTGAAGGGTTTGACCAGAGGTCTGAAAGGCGAACATTCATATAAAGTGAAGTATAAAGTATATTATCATTATTATCAAAGTATTTATCATTATTTAAAATAATAAATTATGAGAAGCAAACTGAAAACATATTTAAAATATTTGGAGGGGAGGGTGTTTGGGACGGTGGAGGTGTTTCCCTCCTGATTCTATCCCTCCTGATATATTAACAATATATATATATATATATATATATATATATATATGTTAGTATATTAGCAATATATACTGTGTCTCATGGGCTCTTCAGAATCTATAGTGACTGTCTGAGAGAAACGCTCTCAGCTCAACTTCAAATGTTGCATCTCAGCACAAAACTGAACCCTAATTAAAGAGTAAAGCTTCTTTCTGCAATGAGCTACTGACACATTATTTTACACATGGTGTAATTTTTTTGAAAATATAATACTATATTCTGCTCTCTCATTTATTATTTTCACCCTTCATGGCAGTAGGGTCGTTTGAGGTTAAACGGTTTTGTTCCTTTTGTTTCCTTTTTCTAGAACAATATAGGAGAGACACAAGGTAATACACAGATGAGAGTGGAGGTGGTGGCACCTGCATGTGCTCTGATATAAACTTGGCAAAATTCATTTACATAAGTGCTTACATGTTTAAACTTAGTCGAAGCGCTTAATAAAGAAGCTCCACTGAGACAGAATGTCCTAGACAGCAGCATATTTTTGCCTTTGTTTATTAGGCTGAAAATATGCTATAAAACATTGGTCTCATCAGTTAACAACACAACATAAAAAGCCTTCTTTACTTTTCTAATTCAATTAAAAGGGTGAATGCAGTGAATGAGCTGATTTAAAACACACTGAGCAGGTGACAACAGTAAATAGCCTGGGGTGCTAAACACTTCCAGTAATAGACGTTGGCGGTGGCTAATAATTTAACGTAGCGCTGCTGATCATATCATGTTAGTCGTGTTGCAGTGCGGTGGCCACTCAGGCAGACAAGACAAGCACATAACCCCTGTCACGCTTATGTCTTCGATGGGCTCTAGCCCGGCCTGACTCTAATTGAATATCTAAAATTAGCGGTAGCCGTTGTGCTGGCGTCAGTGTTAAATTACTGTAATGCAGTGGGACAAAGCAGGCAGGCAGCTTCTCCCAGCGTCCCAGCATTCTTTCGGAGGACATAACACAGAGTAAGCTACTAAGCTGAGTTGGCAAAAAGTGTTTTCGTGCATATGTAGCAAAAACATCAGGGGACACTGGCAGCATATGTAAAAAAAAAAAAAACAGTAGATAAATGTAAAATAATTCACGTTCACGTTTTTTGAAAATATTTCTTGAAAATATTAGGTTTTTTTCATATTATATTATATTATATTATATTACATTACATTACATTATTATAAAGAATTTTCTTTAATTATTTTTTAACAGAATTTCTTGGTAAGTAACAGCACTGATTCGCTTGTAGTGAATCGCTTGTAGTGTTCAAGATCGCTTGTAGTGTTCAAGGGAACTAGGTGTGAAAACGCTCTGAAAGGTTGGAGGTGCAAGCAGTCTTTCATGAACTGTCACCAACTGTGCCTGTAGGACTTAAGAGTTTCATATGTTCCTGTAGACAGGAAGGTCTATGATTTAAATATGATGTTGGATGAGATGTTGTACTATATTATAAAAACAATAAAACATTTTGGCAGGTAAACATCTGGGTTGCTAATGAATTATACAATTCGAATGCAGCAAGGGGTGATCCTTCAGCTATCAAGGCACTCCAAAGGAATTATTCCATGAAAAAAAGTTGATGTCATTAAAAGGACCTGCTAAATGACTACTTGCTTAAAATAATAATTACATGATTATTTTGC